ACTTTGAATTCATGATAAATAGGATCACAAATAAGGTTACTTAGTACTAGGTTATTTTTTGATTTACCTAATTCGGGTGAGTTTAGAAAAAATAAAGTTGGCCGTGTAACAGATTTCTATGTTGAGGAGGCATCCTTACTGTGTTGCAGGGTACTTTATAAAAATTTAGGTTAAAGAAATTTACACTACCACAACTGAAATACAAATTCCAACTCGGCTACTTTTATTAATAATTTAACAACCGATACATGTTCTTTAATATTGTGTGAATTAACTAAGTATTTGAGCGAATCAACAGAAAATTTTGTAACTGTTTACTTGATCGAATAGAATTCATTGAACAACCTATGAAAAACTTGAGAGCACGTAAAAATTTAATGATTCTACTTTTGATAGATCAAAATTATTACGATACTTTATTGTGTCTAATTGCAATTTTGAAAGAATCACAAAGATTAATCAACGAGATATCGTTTCTTTGGAACTTACGTAAATTTAGAGCCACTAATGATATTAAAATTCATTTTGAAAGAGTTACAGAAGAGTTTGATAAGGTTTTATCAAAGTTAAATTTGGAGAAACCTTTTGATTACGAAGCACAAAAAAAGAAAGATCTAAAGGCTATAGAATATGACATTTCAACAATGAATAAGGTAAATAAATACTCTTTTAATTTTTTTTTATTATAAAAAAGATTTTTTAATGCTTTTTTTTTCCAATTATTAGTTTCTTGAGAGTGTTGAAGGATCTTCGATAACATTACCGAATTCAAATATGGAAATTAATCCAATTTTTGAAACGGTTACATTGATCAAAGCACGTTTAACTGAAGTTAACCCAAATGAAATTACAATTAAACGGATTCCACCCAATGAATTAATAAGGATATACCATCATTTATGTCGAAAAAATGATCAACCTGGCGGTGGTGGTAATGTTAAAGTTAAAAGATGGTTGTGTGGTGAAAAGGGAAGTTTGGTTGCGTGTAAAAAATATGGAGAACAATCACAAAAATTTCAAAATAATCTTATTCTTCTTGACAAGCTCAACACCTGTCCAAACATTTTGAAGTTCTATGGACTTTCAATTGTTGATTGGGATCGTAGTTCACAAAATGTTCTAGTTTATGAATGGGCAGAAAGAGGAAATTTAAAAGTGTTATATGAAAAATTTGATATGAGCTGGCCTCTTAAATTAAAAATAGCAGTTGGTATATCTCGTGGACTTTTATTTTTGCATGGATGTGATATTATGCACTATGATTTAAGATGTGAAAATATCATGGAAAGTATTTATTTATTTATATGTAATCATTTCTAATAATTATTAATTTTAATAAATAAAATAAATAAATTGATTAATAATAATAATAATAAATATAACAGATTGATGAAAATTTTGAACCTAAAATCACAAATTTTCGATGTGTTCGTCCCTCACAACATAATCCAACTTTTGAACATTATTTTGATCCCATTGAACATTGGATAGCTCCAGAACGGTTGAAGAACGGAAAAAGATCGCATTACACATGCAAATGTGATATATTTAGGTAATGTTTACAAATACATGTGTGTGTATATATATATTATTATTTAATATTATTTTTTATTATTATTTATTTTTATAGTTTTGGAATGTTATTATGGGAACTTGCTTTTAACCGAATTCCATATAGAGGTTGGAATCTTTTACAAATATCTAAACATGTATTGGCAGGTTTTAGAGAAGTAATAGATTTTGGAAATGATCATAATATAATAGAACAATCATATTCTGGCATAATTAGAGCTGGTAAACATTAAAAAAAAATTTATTTGTCTATTATGTATATAGGTGATATGCACTAATGTTTTTCTTTTATTCCATCCCTCAAAAAAAAAAAAACAAAAAACTATAAAGCTTGGCAAAATGATCCATTATTACGACCATATCTTTATTTAATATTCTTAAAACTTGATGAATTATCTAAAGATAATCCAATTGAGGAAGGATCATCATTATCAGCTATGTTAAGATTTCAAAAATATGATGATAGTGATCAAGTGGTTGAAATAATTTATGATGATAATGAGGTGGAAACCAAAAACGAAGAAGAAATACTGCCAGTTAATAAAGATTCAAATCTTGATATTGTTCCTGTTGTAAGGTCAGTAATGAGTTTTGACGAAGGAGTTAAGGCTCATGAAAATGGTGATTTCATAAGAGCATGGGAATGTTTTAATTCTCATCATATGATAGATAATCTAGAAGCAACATATTGGGTAGGTCATTATTTATACGAGGGTTACCTTGGCGAAAAAAAAATTGATGAAGCAATCAGTCTTTATAAATTGGCAGCAGATCGAGGTGTTCCAAAAGCACAATATTCATATGCAAAATCTTTAATTGAAAACGATATTGATGCTAACGACGATAGTAATTCATTAAAATGTAAAGAAATTTTGGAATATTTAGAATTGGCTGCGCATGGTGGTATACCCTCTGCTATTTATATGCTGGGCGATATTTTTTTAAATGGAAAATATAATGTTGAAAAAGATGAAAATCTTGCTGTTCAATATTTAAAAATGGCTGCTTTGAAAAATAATCAAGACGCTACTGATTTATTAAAACAATTAAAAATCAAATTATTTTAAATATTTTTTATAGATATATATATCTATACTTGATGCTTATGTAAATATTATTTATTATAAAAAGTATTTATTTGGCACTTAATTTTGTATTACAATTATAAATTATCAATTATTTATTTTATTAATTTTATTAATATTTATACACATTTTCTTGTACAATTAAATATATAATTCTTCTTTCTGCTGGATATCTCAAATCTTACATTAGTTTACCAGTTAATCAAAAAATTAGTGCTTTGATACCCGTGGTAATTGCAGATTTGATCATAATAATATATATTTCCTTCAGGGAAATAAGATCAAGATTTTTTGCTTCTTTTACTACATGCTTTTCAAGGAATCTCTCAGAGTAAATAGTGCCAGTGTCATGATGATATAATGGTGGTATCTAAGAGGATTATCTATCTTTTCAAGGAAAGTTCAGCAACTTGTTTCTCGGGTCCAATACGAGGCCGTTTTTTTAACATGTGTTTCAAGATAAGCTCCTGTCGACATGGTTTTTCTGCTTCATAGATAATTTGATATTTTAATCTTCTCCAGCACTCTTTTGGAGGTTTTTAATCAACTTCAGCAAGATAGAAGGTTGCTCTTTTGTATGAAGTGAAATTAGTTTGAATATAATAAGATTCATAATTTAATGTTAATTTCCCCTCATCAAGAATTTTGTCAACATGTTTCAATAAATCTTTGAAATTTTATCGTATACAAGTTGCATTCCCTATTACGAGTCTTACATTCACCCATGTATTTTGTTTGATCATCAAGCCTTTTTTTTACTTTTCTTCTTCATAACTAACAACAGGCTCCATTTTAAGTCTAACGTTAGCTCTAACAGTATTTTCTCTGAAATTGTTAAATAAATAAATGTAGATAAAATGAATAAATCTGATTATTTAATCAAAGAATTAAGTTAAACGTTATATAATTAATTACTTAATGATTCTTGTACCTGTGCAGTATTTTGCATAAAACTGCCAATATATTTGAGTCGATGTAATCTTATCACAAGACCAGCAGGATAGAGGTGAAGCAAAGAAAATCGAATATATTGTAACTCATTCCAGGTTTGAGTTGTAATCCTTCGAAATAATTTAATCTTGATTTTTTCCGAGTTGATCGTCAAAGACTTGTCGCACAACGTGTTAGTAATACTTTCTGGTCACGAGATTGGGAAATCAAAATTTAATGATCGACAAACAAAGCTTAGTTGATTTTTTTTAACAATCTAAATTCGTAAATAACTTTTGATTCGAATGAGTTTCTTCTTTGCAAAGAATCTTTTATTAAATTTATTAAATTCGTGAAACAATTTCCTTTTGCGTGTGTGATTTTTTTAAATACAAATAAATAAATAAATTTTTGCTCAACGCAACGAATAAAACAAAAAATATTGATATAATAATAATATGACCGGCTAATGTTGATGCTCCGAACGAATATACAGATACCTCGAGTAACGTGTAAAGCCAAATAATACATAGGATTCCATTTCAGCACTACGTATTTCGACCCTCGAATTCGAATGCACATGTTTTTTTGGTCCAAGAGTGAGGGTAGCGGGTCTATTTATATGTTTTTATTGTAATTTATTAGACTGCTCGATCAATGCACCATCTGGCCATGAAATAGTCCATTTTTATTAAATATTGCATCATTGATCATGAATACATGATAGGATGCTGAGATTCTTCGCATCCAGTGCTAATTTTGATACTCCGAACGAATATATACGTATATGATTGAGTTATGTGATTTTATAATATTATGACACCAGGATATCATTGCGCTGTAATCCTAACCTGCATTTCACGAAACTTTCTGTTATGATTTCGTTTAAAAATTTGTTTATTTTATAAATATTTTAATAATAGTATATAATAGTGATAGATCCGTTGAAATGAGGTTTGACTGCAGATCATTTTCTTTGTCAACAATATCGTCTGGGACATTATTGTCGACATTATCTTCAGCATTTATCTATACCATCTTCAACATCAGTTATGACATCCACGTTACTATAATTTTGAGATGAATAAGGAGTGCTATGATTATATATTCGTGTAGTGTTATTCGATATTAAATTACTATTGGTTGTAACTTTGTATTATTAAAAAAATTCCTTAAAAAAACATTAGTTACAACATATGCAATGTTGTCTGCCACTTTAGATGACCCGTACATTCCCAGACGAAAATATAAATTTTGCTTATAAATAATACGAGGGCAACTTTTTAGTCAACTTCTGTTTATGACCGAATTTCGAGTTAGTCTTTTTAGCTACACTCGTCGATTAATTAATTTATTTTACGAAATTATCCTGCTTATTGTCTCTTTCTTGCTCCTGGAAAGCTTTATGGTACAATTAACAATGAATTACAATAAATAAAAACGGTCCTCAACAAATGCTCCTAGATTTCCATTTTTATTTACTTTTTCTTTGGCCAATTGAAATCAGCAGTACGTTTGCAACAATTACTTTAACACAATAATCAATATGTGGTAATGATTTTGGTCAATAACTGTTGGCACTTTGTATAGGTGGTCGGTCAGAAATAACTGTTGACACTTAATACTTTTGCCAATAAGCTTTAAAATTTTAACAAACAACAAAAACCAAAAATTAAACCTTTGCTTCACCAAACAAATAACCTAAGCCATTGCTTTCTACCAAAGCAAATAACCAAAACCTCGATGGGATAATTAAACCCTACTGTTTAATTTCCGACCACAAAAGTGTTTTGTCAAATTAATTCGTTTTATTAAATTGTGAAATGCTTATTTGTAAAAAAAAATAATTTTATATTAACTTTCTCCCTCTCTACTCTCAAGCAAGGTTCTGAATTATTAATAATTTCGTTTTGTCATTATTATAATAATTTTCTCAATCTTGGAACATTTCTTTAGATGCTGAATTATTCGAAATTTTTTTTTGTTTGGAAACCATTTTTCTTTGCCTCCTCCTCCTCTCTTAATTTTTCAACACGTGCTTTACAAAAAGTTTTGAATTGCACGATTTAATTTAATATTGATTCTAATAATATGGTGACAAAGGCATTTACTCACGTTAACTTGTGGCTTGTACTACTATTGGTAGTCCCGGACGTCCGGGACATGTCCGCGTCCTCTCAACATTAGGCGGAAATGTCCCGTGTACAACACCGAGCATATTAATATGTATGGCCAATCGCCCTTTGCCGAGAATATATTATATTAGACATAACAAATACACATAAATTCTTGAACGCTCTTTACACATTAAAATAAATATGAATTATATGATCCAATTGTCCTCTACCAAGAAGCATGTATCATATAAAAAATTCAAAGACTTGGTTATATTTATATACTGAGTAACTAAATGATCATCATTGAAAATTTTCCCTTCGATAATTAAAAGATAGAGTACGTTTGTTCACACCTTTTGCAATAAAACACCATTAATGGTTCTTTGCTCATCTCCTACAAAGGTCAAGTTTTCTGTAGCCGTCAAAAAGATATAAAAGGAATGCAAGTCGTTTTTAAAGAAGGCACCAGTTTTTCATCAAAATGTTTTTTAAAATTACAAACACGCGTTACATAATGGACATTCTAAACAAACCCTAATTGGGAATGCCCAATTTGGGAAATTTCATTATAAAAATATCGGACCAAAAAAATTTTCTTAAAATTTTATACGTGTAACAGTGTGAGCCATAATTAAATAATATTTAATCATAATGCTGCTTGTTCAGAAATATTATATCTTGTTGCAAGTTGTACAAGGTTCATTTCTTTTGTCCACAAATTTTTTCTTTATTTAGAATATAGAGTTGATTTTACCAAATTAAGTAACAGATGATTGATTTTTACTTAAGTTGGTAAGATTACATTACTATAATCAGTCTAAATCACAATATTAATAGTCTTCATTTATAACTAAAAAGCGAATTTTATTAATTTGTGGATCTCAAAATTTTTTAAATATTGTTCTTGTAATTACTCCATTGTAACCGTATCAAGACCATTACACTTGTATCGAGTTCACTGTGTACAATGTATTTATCAATTATGTAGTATAAATAAATAAACATTGTTACGATGCGGGTCACTCTAACAATCAAATGCCTTTAAACTAAATAGGGAATATTGAGATAAGATTCGATAGCTGTTGGGACAATAAACTAAATGTTTCGAATTTGTGAAATTTTTATATGTAACATATAAAAACATACGATTTTTAAAGCAAATAGCCCTGAAATCAGTAATTTTTTTTAAATTACCTCGACGATGAATTGTAGAACTAGTCAATCAATTACCTCGACGATGAATTGTAGAACTAGTCAATCAATTTGCACCTAATAGTAAAACTCTAATTGATAATTATATTTCTTTAACAGAGTGAAAGTTACTATTTAATTTCCTTCGCTTCTAGTAAAAGTCCAAGAAAACTAACACCACCAGATGTTAAAGGTAAAAACTACTTTTTTTTTTCTTATTTTACGTACAACTATCGAAGATGCCCTAGACAATCTGGAAATACCAAAAAACGATCCATTTGATTATCGGGAATTTATTTACAGATAGTGGATATTACTTCAAGGCTCGAACATTTTAAACCATTACAATTATTTTTATATCCTAGCATTACATAAGTCCATTACGCTTCAAGGATATGATGTCGCAATTAAAATTTCGCATGGCCTGGAATTTATTAATTGCATTGTTGTCAAGAGACTGTTAAAGCCTCTCGCTTATCTGAAGCCTATGAACTTGTAGATTTCCTCGCCCGCAGAAAAAATTCTATAGTTATAAAGTGTGAAAGAACACTGATTGCATGTTTGTAGAAGGAAAATTTTATTAAATCACCAATATCAGCTTTACTTTTTCGAAAATGATTTTTTAAAAAGCTCTACAGCTTGTGATTAATTGTATACAATTGGAAGGAAAATTAATTTTCGGAAATTATTTATTATTTATTTATTATTTATTTATTATTTATTATTTATTTATTTATTATTTATTTATTATTTATTTATTTATTTATTTTTATTTATTTATTTATTTATCATTTAATGGTATTATTATTACTTGGGTAATACAATTTATTTATTATGAACATTGA